TACAGCAGATTTAGTTCACAAACAACTGACAGCTTTGACCTAAATATGATTTTCAGTTACAATAATTAATCCTACAATTCAACATTAGTAACTTACTTTCAACAGCATCAGACGCGGGCGCTCTCACAATTCCTCCTTTGAATATTATATTATATAGGGGGCAAATATTGTGCTGGACATGATTCATGATTTTTGAGTATGGTCTATTATCATCTGAACCTAAAATGAAATATTAAATAATAAATATTTATATACAAATCTATTTTTTATTTATATATTTTATAATTAAATATTTGTATTTATTTATTTTTATAGGTTTTTATATAATCATACAGGTAAATGAATTAACCACAATTCATTTCAAGAACTGTATGTACTTAAAAACAATATTCATCAAGGGGAAAAAATTTCAGTTTGCATTTTGATTGCATGTTTTTTTTTTATTAAGCTAGATTTCTGAAATGATTATTCTGTGTGATTCTGGGTAGTTTTCTCACGGTTAACTCTCTCTCTCTCTCTCTCTCTGTCTCTCTCTCTCTTAGGTTGGTCATTAGGAGAACACGGCGAGTGGGCCAAATACAGCAACTTTGATGTGGCCACCCGAGTGCCATTGATCGTGTACAAGCCAGGTGTGACCTCACCTTTCCCTCGGCCTGGGGAGAAGACGTTCCCCTTCATCGATGTGTTTCAGGGCACGTGGGAGCAGTTTGGCAAAGGTAATGTTACTCAAAGCAGCCGTCAACACGCAAAGCATCCTTCACGAGAACCTGAGACTCCGACCGACGTCACTCAAGCGTGTGATATCAACTTTCTGGAAAAAGATGTTATGGCTAAAGTATCGGCCCATTTAGAGCTTTGATTCCTATTTTTGCTTCAGTGTTTTTTTGTGCAATGCGAAGGTTTGACTGAGAGTGTACTGTGAGCACATGCATCTGCTGATGGTTTTCCTTTCTTTCAGCTCTCAAGTGCACATTTGTGGCAATCTTTAGAAAACACCCAGCATAAGCAGCCGGAGTAATGACTGTAATGATAATGCCACAGCATCGAGAAGCTAATAAGTCTTGAGAGTTATTGCTCTCACAGTGGGCTCTGTATTGTTGCTTGTTGTTGCTCTAATGAACTGCTATATTCAGTAACCATATCAGTAAATTTCATGTAAATTTCAGAACTAAGAGAATAGTGGCTAAATTCAGTGTGAGGATTTCATGCTCATTTGTTTGTATTTTATGGTGTATGTTAGAGCAACACTTGAGTTCCATTAAAAAAAAACTCCATACAGATGAGTTTTAGCACTAATGATGTATAAAGTTTCAAAACAGACCTGATATAAGCTCCTTGGCTATTTAATGTGGCTTCTGTGAAAGTATATAATATCATCTCAGCTTCATTTTTATAATTGTGTTTTAATTGCACAATTTATAGTGATTCACCAATCGGAAGAGTCACTCTTACCATAGATATATACACATATTTTCACAAAAATATTAAGCAGCGCAACCATTTTCAACCTAGATAATAATAAATGTTTCTTGAGCAGCAAATCAGCATATTATAATTATTTCTGAAGGATCATGTGACACTGAAGACTGGAGAAATGACTTCTGAAAATTCAGCTTTGCATCACAGGAATAAATTATATTTTAAACTATATTCAAATAGAAAATGGCTATTTGAAATTGTAATAATATTTAAATATTCGTTTTTATTGCATTTTTGATCAAATAAATGAGCATAAGAGACCTCTCTTCAAAAAACAACAAATCTTATTTAATCTTATCTCCTAATCTCTACAAATATCAATGATTATAAGCATATAATACATAAATTAAACAAAAAATTAAGTCATTGATTTCATGTGCATGGTTTTATATTGTATTGTAGTTTCAGATTTAACTGATGCACAAATGCAATGCTTTATGGGACAGGTAGTTCATTCCCCCATAAAAGAAATTCGGTACACAGTCTTGTATACTCTCTTGGTCTTTTCCAATTTTTAAACACTTTTTCACTTCAAATCAAAGTCTATGATTCATTTTGAAACTGGTCCATTTAGTTTCTGGCTTTAAAGTCTTTATTGAAGATTGTTTGTAAATATCTATGGTGAAAATTAATGGGAAAAATACTTAAAAAAAAAGAAAGTAGGCTGCTATGTAGGTGGTCACTGTTATGCTCTCTCTCTCTCTCTCTCTCTCTCTCTCTCTTTATATATATATATATATATATATAAAAATAGCCAGCCAAGCTAAAGCTCTGTTTACACCAGGTGCAATGCAGTTAAACAACATAAAAGTGTAAAATGTTTGGAAAAATGATGCTACAGAAACCATCCACATTAAATGTATATGATGCTAAACATTGCAGCTTTAGATGCATTATTGGTTCTCGAATGCATCTGTATCTCAGTTTTCCTTTTGTCCTTCTTTATATCTTTCAGGTCATGGAGTTGAGAATGTGGTGGAGCTGGTGGATGTCTTCCCCACGCTGTCGCACCTGGCTGGGCTGCGTCCTCTGCACCGCTGCCCGTCCTCATCCTTTAAGATCGAGCTTTGCACCGAGGGCTCAAGCTTGGCATATCTCATCCGCAACCCAGAGAGAGACCCCAACAGAGAAGCCTACTCATTCAGCCAGTACCCTCGGCCCTCCGACTCCATCCAGGAGAACTCGGACCTGCCCAACCTCGCCGACATCCGTATCATGGGCTACTCCATTCGCTCCACTGACTACCGCTACACCTTATGGGTAGGCTTTGACCCCGTCCACTGTCAACCTAACATGACGGACATCCACGCGGGAGAAATGTACCTCCTGGCGGAAGACCCTGGAGAGGACAATAACGTGTTTGATGATTTCGACCAGGCCACAGTATTGCGTAAGCTCGGGATGCTGCCGTCGTGGACAGAGAGTTTAAAGCATCATATAATGCATCTCAGCAGCAGTTTGAAATCAAAAGGATTCTGTGATTCTAGTTTGTCATGATATGACAGTAAAGGGAACAGGAATGAATGTTACAAAACAAACAAAAAAAAACATGTTCGGTCATACTTAAATCAAATCATATCAAAAATCAAAAGGCAGAATTAAGAAGTTTAATCTTGCTTGAAGAATATGAAGCCTATTTTTTTTTTTTCTAATAGTACCTCACAATTCTCATAATCAAAATGCTAATAATCTTGTATTCTCATTACTGTAATGTAAAAATATTATTTATTATAACACCTTTAATTTATTCTGATTTAAATAAAAAATATATTTTGCACTAGAATACACAGATAAGAAAATTCTTATTACTAAAATGCAGTAAAGATACTTTAAGGTTTTAATCTTTTTGAAATCAGAATTATTAGGCAGTATAACAAATTTATTTGGATTTGAATAAAACATTAGTGTTTTTACTACATTAAAGTAATAAATTCCATGAGAATAACAATAATTAAAAAAATTCAAAAGTAAAATTAAGAGTTTGGGCTAAAATGTGCTAATTCCACAAGGCAAAATAATTAAAGGTCTTCATTTATATATATATATATATATATATATATATATAAATGTGCTTTTTGTGAGGTTCAGTTAAATACAAATGTATTTTGAGTAATTTTACATAATCCGTAAAAACAATTGTCAGCGTTACTGAAGGCATACCTGTTTTGCACAGTTATTTGTCCTATTTTAATCATAAAGATTCCTTTAAAAATGTCTTCAAACCTCATATTCAGATTATTGCTACAAAAGATTTTTTGACTGATTAGTTTTGGTTGATTTATTTAATAATGAATCATCTACCTCACAATGTTCTAATGGAATAACCTTGCACAGCACTTTTCTTAAAAGAATAAAAAATGTTCACATACCGTAGAACTTTTATTAAGTATATTTGAGGTAGTATTCTGATAAACTGGAGTCCATTGACTTAATTTCCTCATTCCCTTCAGAATGTGATACATGGAAATGACGTAACGTCAACTTAAGTGAGAAATGAGTTTAATTCAAGTCTCTGAGAAATAGAAAGCTCTGCTCAGACAACACTCTGCTTTGGCAAGTTATCAGGTCACTAAGTCGTAATTGCATTTTGTCTTGGAGGCCGACGGAGAATCTGCCAGCGCTAAGCTCTTGTTTTTCCAGGCAGCGTGATGAAAATCAACTTAAATATAGAATTTCAAGTCATGCGCTCCCACTGCACCGTTGCCAAGGTAATTAGATGCTTAAATGTGAAAACTTGCAAATGATGTTGCTCGGATACACCTCAGAGAATAGTTTAACACTGATGAATGTTTTAGCCAACATTAAAAAAGGAGAAACGACTGCTGCAGAGTCTTCTGTTGCTCGCATGCTGTGACATCAGCCAGCGTTTGCTCCCCAGACTCATTTCATGCCACGAGTCTGCATTTTAAACACTCCTACCTGCTTTCTCTTTTCAGGTTTATTTTGGATTCCCCGCACTCTTTCGCGTCAGATGCCACATTGTTTACTCCTGCAGAGTATGAATTATTTTTGAAGGAATATATTCAATATTTATGTGGCAACATAAATATATTTCCTCGCTTTCTCTCAAAAGGAAAAACAACAAAACAAAGCAAGCGCATTATTTGTGTGTCTGTGTGTGTGTGTCCCTTTTCAAGTGTGTTCTTATAAGAGTGCAGCAGGAGTGTTATAGTGAGGCGATCCTTTGGGACCGCCAATATATTCAGCTTCAGCAGACAGGCTTCATTGCCAACTGGTCCGGAAAATTCCACTGCTGTCTCCTTTTTTTTTTTTTTTGTGCGTTACTGAAGGCATACCTGTTTTGCACAGTTATTTGTCCTATTTTAATCATAAAGATTCCTTTAAAAATGTCTTCAAACCTCATATTCAGATTATTGCTACAAAAGATTTTTTGACTGATTAGTTTTGGTTGATTTATTTAATAATGAATCATCTACCTCACAATGTTCTAATGGAATAACCTTGCACAGCACTTTTCTTAAAAGAATAAAAAATGTTCACATACCGTAGAACTTTTATTAAGTATATTTGAGGTAGTATTCTGATAAACTGGAGTCCATTGACTTAATTTCCTCATTCCCTTCAGAATGTGATACATGGAAATGACGTAACGTCAACTTAAGTGAGAAATGAGTTTAATTCAAGTCTCTGAGAAATAGAAAGCTCTGCTCAGACAACACTCTGCTTTGGCAAGTTATCAGGTCACTAAGTCGTAATTGCATTTTGTCTTGGAGGCCGACGGAGAATCTGCCAGCGCTAAGCTCTTGTTTTTCCAGGCAGCGTGATGAAAATCAACTTAAATATAGAATTTCAAGTCATGCGCTCCCACTGCACCGTTGCCAAGGTAATTAGATGCTTAAATGTGAAAACTTGCAAATGATGTTGCCCGGATACACCTCAGAGAATAGTTTAACACTGATGAATGTTTTAGCCAACATTAAAAAAGGAGAAACGACTGCTGCAGAGTCTTCTGTTGCTCGCATGCTGTGACATCAGCCAGCGTTTGCTCCCCAGACTCATTTCATGCCACGAGTCTGCATTTTAAACACTCCTACCTGCTTTCTCTTTTCAGGTTTATTTTGGATTCCCCGCACTCTTTCGCGTCAGATGCCACATTGTTTACTCCTGCAGAGTATGAATTATTTTTGAAGGAATATATTCAATATTTATGTGGCAACATAAATATATTTCCTCGCTTTCTCTCAAAAGGAAAAACAACAAAACAAAGCAAGCGCATTATTTGTGTGTCTGTGTGTGTGTGTCCCTTTTCAAGTGTGTTCTTATAAGAGTGCAGCAGGAGTGTTATAGTGAGGCGATCCTTTGGGACCGCCAATATATTCAGCTTCAGCACACAGGCTTCATTGCCAGCTGGTCCGGAAAATTCCACTGCTGTCTCTCTTTTTTTCTTGTCGACTAAAAGCAAGGTCAGGGCAGTCGTAGAAGGATCCACAGGCTGATTGAAGCTGATATTTGTAAAGGAGCAACCGTATCTAAAGTGCTAGAAAAGAGAGAGTCAATAGTTTCTGTTACAACATCAAGTTTTTCTAAGCTACTGGATTTGTTGAGGATTTGAGAAAAGTCAGGAAGATTATTTACAAAGCAGTCTTTTATTGTAGAAGTGATGGTTCTACCATATTTGTAACAAGGAGTTGAGTTTGCAGCTTTAGCTATATGGAGAATACACAATACTAGATAATGATCTGAGATATTTCAATTGCCATTGAAATCAATTCAATGCGATAATATTAAATCTAGAGTATAATTATGACAATGAGTAGGTCCTGACATGTGTTGTCTGATCCCAATAGAGTTCAAAATGCCAATGCATCTTTTTCATTATCAACAAAAATCGTTTTAGACAATAAATACCGCATAATATATGTAGTAATAGTGGAATATTGTTCTTGGGTTAAATCACAACAGGCCTGTGCCAGTGGCAGGTAGACAGAAAACATTCACGCGGACATGCAACGAGTTATTTGGTGTTGATACTTATTATAACACAAATTAAATCTGAAATAAAAAAGAGTTTCTTAATTGTAAAATTTATGGAGTGTGTTCTTATAAGAGTGCAGCAGGAGTGTTATAGTGAGGCGATCCTTTGGGACCGCCAATATATTCAGCTTCAGCAGACAGGCTTCATTGCCAACTGGTCCGGAAAATTCCACTGCTGTCTCCTTTTTTTTTTTTTTGTAGTCGACTAAAAGCAAGGTCAGGGCAGTCAGAGAAGGCTCCACAGGCTGGTTGAAGCTGATATCTTAATTGCGTATACTAAAGTATCTTTGCTTTTCTTGTCTACGAACTGATTGTGTTGCTTGCAAAGTCTTTACCTAATTGAAACAATCAAGAAATGTTCCTCTTAAAGGGGCTACATGTAAGAATTTCCGTGTATTAATCACTTTTTATTGCCAATCTATGGCTTGTAACGAAACGTAAAAACAAGACTTTTTCTGACTTGTCTATGAAATCATGTAGACTGATTTTTATGTGAAGGACGTTCTATGACTCATGAAATGAATGCTTATACAGTGGTTGGATTAATGCCGAAAGATCCATTCTGTAATGTTATGTCAAAGAAAAAGGAATTAATTCAATCTGTAGTCTAGCAGCCAGATCTATATAGTCTCATATACTTTGTAATCAAACTATCATAACAGTGTAATTTTAATTACCTCATCTTTCGACAATCAACATGATGACGGTGAATTGCAGAGCTGGTGCAAACATATCCACATCGCTATGATCAGATGCTTTCTTAACCTTTTTTTTTTCTCTCCTCAACACTGTCATGTTTGTTGTGTGTTTATATTGTTATTGAGAGGAAAGCATGCGGGAATCTTCCTCAGGGAATCTATAGTGCACTGTCTGATGCAATACTGTAGCTGACGGCTGCATATTTATCTCTAATAGTATCGATCATGGAAGTAAAGAAGTTCATAAAGTCATTACTGTTGTGCTATTGGGAAATGTCTGTGTCTGTTGATGCTTTATTTTTTGTTAATTTAGCCATGGTATTGAATAAATACCTGGGGTTGTGTTTGTTTTCTTCTAAAAGAGATGAAAAGTAAGCAGATCTAGCAGTTTTTAAGTCTTTTCTGTATATAGAAGTACTTTCCCTCCATGCAATATGAAATACCTCTAGTTTTGCACTCCATTTTCCGGGCTGCTCTCTTTAAGGTGCGAGTGTGCTCGTTATACCACGGTGTCGGACTGTTTTCCCTAATCTTCTTTAAGTGTAAAGGAGCAACCGTATCTAAAGTGCTAGAAAAGAGAGAGTCAATAGTTTCTGTTACAACATCAAGTTTTTCTAAGCTACTGGATTTGTTGAGGATTTGAGAAAAGTCAGGAAGATTATTTACAAAGCAGTCTTTTATTGTAGAAGTGATGGTTCTACCATATTTGTAACAAGGAGTTGAGTTTGCAGCTTTAGCTATATGGAGAATACACAATACTAGATAATGATCTGAGATATTTCAATTGCCATTGAAATCAATTCAATGCGATAATATTAAATCTAGAGTATAATTATGACAATGAGTAGGTCCTGACATGTGTTGTCTGATCCCAATAGAGTTCAAAATGCCAATGCATCTTTTTCATTATCAACATGGACATTAAAATCACCAACAATTAAGACTTTATCTGCAGCCAGCTCTAGCTCAGATAGAAAATCAGCAAATTCTTTGAAAAAGTCTGTATGGTGGCCTGTAAACAGTAG